TGTTTGATGTGTCCTTCGTGGAGGTCTTGACCTCAATTCTCTTTGTTTTTTGTTGTAGCTTTATTGTAGCCATGTCTACCACTTGACAATGTTTCTACAATTAGCTTTTAATTCTCATCATTACTTGCTGTGTTTTATTTAGTTTAGTTTTTATATTTATATGTCTTTAGTTCCATCCTTGTTAGTTTGATCTTTGATACCTATTTTTTATTTATTTATTTATTTATTTAACACTTTATGTACAACTGTATACAATGGCGGACTTAATGCCGAATGGCATAAATAAATATTTTTCTACTCTTTCTTAATAATGTTTTCATAATTTTACTGTCTCCACTTTGTCTGCTAGTCTCATCAACGTCACTATTACGTGTTCAATAATATTTGCTGTCAACAATTGCATTAATATCATTCTGTAGGTTTGTTTAAACAGATGTTTTATAAGAAAAACATGAAAAATGAGTCCGTTTGTCCTTCAAATATAGGTATTCTATTCTTTTGGACATGACATGAGTTGTAGATTGTTCTTTTTTAAGATTTAGTGCTAGATTTTTTGCGCTAGTATATTAATGTTTCAATTACTTATCTAGGTTTGTTTCGATTGCAATTTGTTTTATTTAAGGCAACCTTCAAAATTCTAGTGCTAATGGAATGTTATGAAGACATGTTTATTGGTTATGAGTAAAGACTCAAAAGAGGTATTCAGAAGGCTTAAATTAGGACGAGTAGGTAGAATAAGTGCCGCCTACATTGGTATTTAGTCAATTTGAGCTATTGGTTCTTTCATGCCATAATAAGCAGCCGTACTTAAAGACCCAATGAAGGCAGCAAATCCTAACAAATGACTTAACATTTTTTCGTATTGACAGGGTAAGTGTCGACAGTTTATTTACTTTATTAACACTAGAAAGACGAAATGACACGTACGACTCTCGCACAAGAAACATCTAGCTCCGCGTAAAAATTGCTATAAAATAGTAAATTTTTGAGTTAATAGTGTGTAATCGTTAGAAAGTGAAGTTTTAATACTCAACGCATCAGTGACCGTGTGGGCAAACCTGGAACTCAACAGGATCAGGAATAAAGAACTAGATTCCTGGTACTCAGCAATATAATCCAAAAGGTTAGTGCAAACACCCTGTTTCGGCGAAACTGAACATTGGTATAGCTGCATGACAACCAGCAGACACTACAAAGGATAAAGGGATGGTCAGTTCCTTAAAATAACATCAAAACAAATACCATATGTTACAGTAACAATATCAATAATTTAAAAATCGCCGCATCATCGAACGCACGAACGTGACCTTCATTCAGGCACGCGCTGTCAGCACGTTCGTCGCACTCATCAACAATTTATCAACCGCGATAACAATCAAGAACAGTAAAACTGCTAACACAACAAATTCCATTGCCCACAAGAATTGCGGTGCTAAGGGCTACATAAATATCTGACCCATTGACATAGACCGTAAAAACTGGTCGTCAACAAGTGGGAAAGACAACACCGTTTGGCCCCAAGCGAGGGGGAGAGGACTTCACACTCAACGAATTGAACATCAGGACCAATCACACCTCAGGTTCTACACACGACGTGCGTGCTACGCTACCACATACCGACCACTGCAGGACATCAGCGGAACGTCGAAAAATAAGAACAACACAGTACTAACATAGAATAGCATTGACTAAACATAAAATTGTAAACAGTAAGAATAATTACATACTAACACGTAACTTGTAAACAAAAATATATAGGTTTTAACAAAACATTCTGTAAGAATATAGAAACACACACAAAACTTAACAATAACAGCAATGTCTACCGCCAGCAGCTCACGTGGCAAACGCTCAGCAGTTGTTGTGGTAACATCACCGTCACCCGTCAGAAAAACGGGAGCGAGCCTTCCACAGTCCGGGGTAGCATCGTCATTGACTCCGCAGAAATGTGACCGTCTGACGGCCACGTCTATGAGCGAAGGATCCACCACCTGCTCACCTTCCTCTAAATTTCAAACTGCTGAGGCCATTCAAAGGGTGGAAACATGGGAGCAAGCTGAAATCCTCTCGGATGACGAGGCCTGGGACTTCAGATCTCAGGATAAGTCAGAAACGCAGGGAAGGAACAGCATGTTGCCCGGAGATGGACGGCGCTCGGGCATCGCAATGGATATGGCAAACAAATATGCCAATGAACTGCTTCAGCGGGGAAAAACGGCTTTGGAATCTGCCGGGAACATGAAGCGGGAATTCAAGTTAACAGCTATACAATGTCTTCAGTCCCTATACGAGACCTGTCTCGCCCTTTCAGACTCCCGGTCACGGCATATGTTGAGCCTGGAGAGGGAGAGGTCACGTCATGCTAGGGAAATTGTTGCCATCGAAAGGGCCCATAGCAATAAAATTGCTGATGTAACCAAATATCTAACCTCAGAAGTAGCATCGGCACGAAACGATTTAACGGCGAACCTCGAGCAGACAAAGGCCATTCGTTCTTGGCTAGGCTACGAGACGTTGGAACCGTACAAGAGGATAGAAGACATACTCAAATCCACTTCAGAAATAAAAGCGACCGTTGCTAAGTGGAACCTCTCTCGAGACTTGCCTACTAAAACTCTGACAGAAGCAGAACTCCAGCCTCTGAAAGAACAGCAGACTAGGTTGCTTCAAACAATACAGACATTGTCTCAGCAACTGGATGAACTGCGCAGAGGTCAACAAAAAACACTAGAAAACACGACCACTCTCCAAACAATGAGTCAGGAGATACAGGTTGGGCTGAGTTCCCGTGAGCATAGTGTCCCGACAGAAATAACCACCCAGACTCAGCTAAAAATTGAGGAGGATCTAGTTGGAGTAAAAAAAACTCTCAACTTAATAGCAGATCATATTAAAGATCCTCCATCGCAACACCATCTTCCCCAACTTAAAAATGACCTTCAGCCTATCACCGAGCGACTGGATGCAGTATCATCAGAACTGCGAACAATGAGACAGCTTAAAGAACGAACGCCTCCCCCACCTGCGCCAAGTGTGCGTACAGAAATCGCATTGGCTGACATTGTCAGACAAATCCGACAGCCCACATACGCGCAGGTGGCATCCAAACCATCCGTTCCCAGACCAAACCACACCCTTATCATAAGTTCAACGGATCCCAAAAACACTGGGGACAATGTTATTGAAAAGATAAGGGTGGCTCTGGACTGCAAAAAGACAGGAGCAAAAGTGGAAAAGGTGAGAAAGGCAAAGAACCAGAAGATTGTCATAAGCTGCGGCAGCAGAGAAGATATGAAGCTGGTGCAATGCCAAGTCCAGAAAAAGGATGACCTCAAAGTTGAAATAGCCAAAGCTAGCAACCCACTGCTCCGAATAGCAGATGTATTGTCCTACCATACAGACACTGAACTAGTGGAACACGTACTAGCTCAAAACAAACATCTTCTCTGTGACGTCAATATGCAGGACAGCACCATAAGGGTGAAGTACAGGAAAAAGGCACGAAACCAACACGAGTGTCATCCAGTGCTGGAGCTGTCACCAAGTATTCACAGGCGATTCCTGGAGGCTGGGAAAATTTACGTAGGATTGCAGAGGAGACCTGTGTTTGACCAGTCTCCTCTGGTCCAATGCAACAAATGCCTGGAGTACGGCCACAC